ATGCGCGTCAGGCGACCTAGCTCCTCCCTCCCTCCGCCTCTTCGCTCTCGTCGCTGCCCCCCAGCCCACCCGACCGAGGTCCGCAGGACGATGCGGAAGGCAGTCCTCGGCGCCGTGCGGCACGCTCGCCGCCGCGCGCGCGTGCCGGTGAAGCGCCGCGCCGCGTCGGAGAGGCCTTCCGCGGCCTTCGGGGGGCAGCAGAGGCAGAGAGGAGGAGGAGGACGAGGGGGAGGAGGATGATGATGACGAGGAGGAGGAGGAGAAGGATGATGATGATTATGAGGAGGAGGAGGAATGATAATAATACGAACTATTATTCATAATTCCAATTCGTAATACAAAGCTACCAATCGTATTACTAGTACTAAAGTGAGTAATTCTATTGAAAACAGAACGATGCTACGATACATCCTGGGATTATGAGCATTCGTAATAATACGGCTAATGTTACTAGTTATGAGAGGTCAGCCACGAGTAATACTAATACGTAGGCTAATGCTTATCATGTCAAGAAGGGTACGAATCGGAATATTAGCACAGCTATTCAGAACAGTAAGACGAATTCTACTACGAATGCTACTATTAATTCTTAGAGTAACTCACTAGTCATACGACGAGGCAGACTTTCAATAATACTAAGAAGAATATTACTAGCACTACTAATATCAACAATACTACGGCTACTAAGAATACTGATGCTGGTACTAATGGTCAGACTAATGATACATCGGGTAATACTAATCATACCAATGACACTACTCATACTACTAAGGGCTACCATTAGTATTCATCGTGGCAATAATGCGAAAACTGAGAGTACTATGTTACTAATGGCAACCGACCTAAGAATAATAGTAGTGCGGGTCATACTGTTCATGCCGATCATAAGAATAATATTGCGAATGGCAAGCAGACGACGACAACTATTACTACGCAAAAGAAAGATGACAAGACGAAACGTATTATATACATATTATGATCAATAAGAATATGAAGACTGCGAAGAGGAGGAGGAGGAGGAGGAGGAGGAGGAGGAGGAGGAGGAGGAGGAGGAGGAGGAGGAGGAGGAGGAGGAGGAGGAGGAGGAGGAGGAGGAGGAGGAGTAGGAGGAGGAGGAGGAGGAGGAGGAGGAGGAGGAGAGAGGAGGAGGAGGAGGAGGAGGAGGAGGAGGAGGAGGAGGAGGAGGAGGAGGAGGAGGAGGAGGAGGAGGAGGAGGAGGAGGAGGAGGAGGAGGAGGAGGAGGAGGAAGGAGGAGGAGGAGGAGGAGGAGGAGGAGGAGGGAGGAGGAGGAGGAGAGGAGGAGGAGGAGGGAGGAGGAGGAGGAGGAGGAGGAGGGGGAGGGGGAGGGGGAGGTGGAGGTGGAGCTGGAGCTGGAGCTGGAGCTGGAGGAGGAGGAGGAGGCGAACGCTACAAGCTTGGCACTTGAAGTCCGCACTTGGAGTCCGCCCGACCCAAAAAGAAGGATTTTCATAATTTCCGCCATCGCAAGAGTGACTTAAAAGAAGCAGCCCCTGAACACGAGGAGCAGCGCGGCTACGAGGGACAGGAGGCCCACCCGTGGAGCCCGCCAAGAAGTTTGTGGAACACGAGAAAACGCGATGCCGCCAAATGAGTCCCTCCATCGTTCAGATGTTCACCCCTTCCTGGCCAAACCACCAAGAGCGGATCAGGCGACACGCACCTTGGCGCGCCGCGCGCAGCACGCACCTTGGCGCGCCGCGCGTTCTGGCAATTCCAAGGCGGCGGGCCCACTGCCCGCACATAGTGACACGCCACACCGCGTGCCGCCCCGATAAGCCACCCGAGGGGCGCCACTCCTTCGGGCGAATGCACACCCCCACGCACGCCAGGGCGGGGGAGCGCAGCTCTCCCCGGAAGAACCTGCGCGGCGCTTGGTGCGGGCGCGGCGCCTTTTTTTTGTCTCTCTCGCTCTCTCTCTCTCTCTCTCTCTCTCTCTCTCCCTCTCTCTGTATCTCTGTCCTTGCATATTTTTCTCTCCCTCTCTCTCCCTCTCTCCCTCTCTCCATTGCCCTCCCGCTCTCTCTCTCCCTCTGGGGCGCGGCTGCGATTCCGACGGCTCAGCGAACAACAAGCCGTGCGCCACGCCCAAGCGGGAGCGCACCGTTCAGGAAGGAGCCGAGAATCTGCACGGCGGTGAGACGAGGGCAACATCTCGCCCTCTCGTGCGCGATGTGCGCTGCGCCCCGTTCCCGAGACGCACATTGCACCGTCGATGACAATGTCCATGTTGAACTGGTCAAGGTTGAAGTTGTATCGATGTTGATGGATCGGATGAGGCAGATGGGTAACTATGGGCAGGAGGGACCTCGCTTGATTTTTGGTTTACCAGTCCGAGACGTGGGGGTGGGACCATGTACCAAAATGGAGTAAGGGCGGGAGCTGAAATGGGATTGCTGCCAGTGGTAGTGGTAGTCGACGGCACTGGGGTAGTGGCAAGATACATAGAAATAACACGAGGAGGAGGAACGGAGGAGGAGGAGGAGGAGGAGGAGTAGGAGGAGGAGGGAAACAAGGTGGAGGCGGAGAAGAAGGAGGGGAAGAACCAGGTGGAGGAGAACAACGAGGTGGTTGGCGGAGGTGGAGAAGGCGGAGGATCATATTTGCTTGTTGTTGGTTCAGGGGAAGTGTGCGCGGCGCCAATGCAAGAGCCCGATTTTGAAAACGGCCCAGCCTCATTCTGTGTAAAGTGCGGCTTTTTAAAGACGAGTGTGGTGGCGCCACAGCGAGACCCTCACTGTGAAATCGATTCGCCCTCCGTCCGTGTAGCTACTGGACATTTCACGCTTCAAAGCCTTAAGTGGTGAGGGAATCTAAGGCGAAACGCCCATCCCGTCATAACGACACGTCTGTTGGCTCAACATGTATGGGCGATCAATGAGGCGGAGGAGAAGTGATGGAGGAAAAGGAGGAGCACGACCAGGAGGCTTCGGAGGAGGATGAGGTTGTTGATGATGATGGTGATGACGATGATGATGCTGATGACGATGATGCTGCTGATGATGATGAGGATGATGATGCTGATGATTGTATTGATGATACGTCGACTGATGATGCTGCTGCTGATGCTGCTGCTGCAGATGACTGCTGGTGCTGATGCTGATGCTGCTGATGACGGTGATGGCGACGACGACGATGGCTATGATGGTGATGATGATGGTGATGACGATGATGATGCTGATGACGATGATGATGATGCTGTTGTTGTTGCTGATGATGCTGCTGATGATGATGAGGATGGTGATGGTGGTGGTGGTGGTGGTAATGGTGCTGCTGCTGATGATGATGCTGCTGATGATGAGGATGCTGATGATGCTGATTATCATGGTGATGACGATGATGATGATGATGCTGATGATGGTGATGATGGTATTGATGATGCTGATGCTTGTGCTGGTGCTGATGCTGATGATGATGCTGCTGCTGATGCTGCTGCTGCTGATGATGCTGCGCCTGCTGCTGCTGATGATTGCGATGATGATGGTGATGATGATGAAGATGATGAAGATGATGATGATGCTGCTGCTGCTGATGCTGCTGCTGCTGCTGCTGATGATGATGATGATGATGATGATGATGATGATGATGATGATGATGATGATGATGATGATGATGATGAGTCTTGCATTATGATGGTGGTGATTGTGTCTGTGAGGGAAACGATGATGAGGAGGCTGTTGATGGTGCTGGGGATACTGATGATTAGGAGGATGGTGTGGAGTAGGAGGAGGACGGTGTGGAGTAGGAGGAGGAGGAGGAGGAGGAGGAGGAGGAGGAGGAGGAGGAGGAGCAGTAGGAGGTGAAGCAGGAGGAGGACGGGGAGGAGGTGATGCGCCCATTTTCTCCTCCCCCACCCCCGCAGGCCGTGCGGGGCGTACCGAGGCACGGAGCCGCTGCTGCAGCCCGAGCCAGCGCCCCAGCCACGCGGTTAATCTTCGTTGTCTTCATCGCCCTCCTCCTCCTCCTCCTCCTCCTCCTCCTCCTCTCCTCCTCCTTCCTCGATGCTTCGTCGATGAGGTGGAGGAGGTGGAGGCGGAGGAGGAGGAAGAGGAGGAGGAGGAGGAGGAGGAGGAGGAGGAAGAGGAGGAGGAACTGGAGGAGGAGTAGGAGGAGGAGAAGGAGGAGGAGGAGGAGGAGGTGGAGGAGTACGAGGAAACACCTTGGTCTGGAACCGGTTCAAGTCCTAGTCCTAGTGGATTTGATTTGGATGCTATTCAAGCCGACCATCATTCCAGGAGATCGGGGGTCTGCTTCTTCCCTGTTGCTATCCTACTTAAGGCCTCTTTCATTCACATCGATAGCCTTTTGATCGGGGGCCTGATCGATTCCGATTAGAATTCAGCTTTCACATCGAACCGAATCGTCTTGACCCAGGGACTGCTCCATGCCTATCGAGATCTGTTCTGAATGATATTCCCTAAGCCATGCTTGTACGTAACGGTTCTCTGTTCTAACGAACTGGGCCGTGTCTTCGGTCTGACGGCTATGTGGCCGCCGTCGCCGCCCCGTCGCCTCCACGTCGCGGCCCGCCGTCTGGGTCGTGTCTCCAGTTTGGCCGCCGTCGCCGCCCCGTTGCCGCGTCGTCGCCGCCCGTCGTCTGGGCCGGTTTGTCGGTCTGGCTGCCATGTTCCCGCCGTCGCCGCCCTGTCGCCGCCCAAAACATAGATTGCACGACATAGGTCGCACCACATATATTCATCTCATTAAAACAATTCGTATCACCCTGCGAGGACGGCATGATGGACCACCCGTGGAGATGTGCAGTTTACATTTGATCCTGCTCCGTTATTCGTTCTAAATCAGAAATCGTATCATCTCAGCCAAACCATGTTCGACCCCCCCCACCGTCCTTTGCAAACACCACTACGCGGCACATTATATATTTGTATATGTATATATATTTACTAAGAAAAACTAGCGATTTTCGAAACATATCTTGCAATATATCTGACGAAGTGCACGCGCGCGTCGTCGCGCGCGCATGCAGAAATCTCAAATTATTCTTAGTTCCGTGAGGATTTCAATTTCGAGCGTCTTGGAAGATAAACCACACATGGTTTTGCAGCGTCCGCCAATCGGGCCCTTTGCGCGCGCATGCTGAAATCATCTGAACGCCTTTGTGCGCGTGCTTGGCGGGCACGACCCCTGTCAAACAATACTATGCGGGACATTCCTGCCCGTCGGTCGTGCCTGCATTTCGGAATCCTTTTACAAGCTGAATCGCCGACGCTTGGATCCCATCATCGTCGTTGATGTGACCAGCATCGGCGCCGCCATTGGCCTTGGCGTTGTCACCGTCATCCTCGTCACCATTATTGCTGTTATCGTTATCGTATTTGCTGTTGCCGACGTCGCCATGGTACCGCGCGCACCCGAGTTACCGACTCGCGCTGAAATCCCTGCGCGCCAACGCGGCCTGCCAGACGCGGTGGGAAGCCCCCAGCGGTCAGTGCCACCACGGCCGCGTCGGTCGCACCAAACCAGCTGGCCGTTCTGCGCGCGAGCCTGCGCGCATGGCGACGCCGACATTGGCGGACGCGATGATGGCGATAATGATGATGGTGACGATGGCGGGAATGATGACGGCGAAGGAAGTGGCGGGGCCGGTGCCGATCACGCCGGCGACGACGATGCGACGATGGCGCCCGCGCGTCGGCGACAAAGATTTTTGATGGGCTTTGACATGCCAGCGCGGCCGAGGCGCGCGAGCAGCGTGCATTGCATTGTTTGGAAGGGATCGCGCCCGCCCCCCCCCCAGCAAGCGCGCAGAGGCGTTCGGATGAGTTCGACATGCGTGCGCGGGAGGCCCGCGCGGTTTCATGCGACGGAAACGTTGATAAAAAAAACGATGGTTGCCCTGAGAATTCGCCAGGGCACGCGCGCGCAAAGTTGCGTGACAAGTCATGTTGCGAAACTACGTATTCGGGATACTCGAACTTGAAATATTTGCGAAACCTGTGTTTTTTTGATTGATTCTGACATGCGCGCGCGGCTCCGCGCGCGCGTGGACTTCGCCCATCCGTTCAAAGAAGGTTCTTCCACATTGATTGTGATTGTTAAACGGGCGCGCGCGCATACTGATATTTGGCAGGGGCGGGGGGGGCGACACTAGCGTTCCCTGGGATGGCACGAAGTAATATTCAAACTGAATGATGGGGGCAAATTCAAATCGCCATCGGTGCTGCAACAAGAGTTTGCAATCGAATCTGCGCGCGCGCTCTTGCGAATTCTGAAGAGATCCGCGCGTTGACTTTCAGCGCGCGCAGCACGTGCGAGCGCGCTGGCCTCTCGCGCGCGCGCGTCGAAATCATTCGAACGCCTTTGCGCGTCTGCTGTGTCGCCGATTTGCAGTATTACCGCGTCCGCCCGAGTCGCCGATTCCCATTGAAGTGTCGCGCTCCAGCGCGTCGGCCACGCCAGATTAGCTGGCCGCTGCGCTCGAGCGCGCGCGCGTCAGGGCGGCCGCAACGACGCGCGTAGCCAGCGCCAATCAGTCAGCGCAGCCGCCGCCGCAAAGGCTTTGCAAACCGAGGTGCGGGTGGGTGGGCGTGGTGGCTGCGCGAGCATTAATCCCGCGCGTTTTTGAAATTTTCCATTCCTCAAAAGAGATAGACTCTGCCCCCCGCCCCCCCCGGATGATCAGCCCCTTCGTTCGTTGTGCAATTGACGTGCGGTTCTGCCCCATCGTCCACCCTGAATATGAACTCATCCCATCCCAGCCCAGCTGGTATTCGCACCCCCCCCCCCCCTATCCTCAGCAAAAAAGAAAATGCGCGCTTGTTCATCGCGCATCGCAAGTTTCCAATGGCCCCTGGGAAAACATGGGGCGAACGCGCGCGTCGTCGCGTGCGCGCGCCGAAATCCTTCAAACACCTTCGGTTTCGCAAGGGTTTCACAGTCGAGTGTCAGAAAACATATGAAACCCACGGTCTCGCCACACTTTCTTATATAAAAAACTTGCGCGCGCGCTCTTGCGCATTCTCAAGAAAACCATTGTTTTGTCTTAGCGCCGTTTTCTAACACACTTACCAAGCGGGCCTCGCGCGCGCATGTTGAAATCGTTCGAACGCCTTTGCGTGAGTGCGGGGGTGGCACGATCCATGTCAAATAATTCCACGCGGGCCACTCTTGCGCGTCTGCCGCGCGCGCATGTCGAATTCTTTCCAAAACCTTCATCGCCGACGCGAAGACGCCGTCATCGTAGTCGGCGTGATCAGCGTCGGCGCCGTAACTGGCTGCCACGTCGTCGCTGTCAGCATCGTCGCCAGCATCGCTATTATCATCATCATCGTGTCTACTGTTGTCGACGTTGCCATGGTACCGCGCCCGCCCAAGTCGCCGATTCGCACTGAAGTGCCCGCTGGGATGTGCCGAGCGGTCAGCGCCACCTCGTTCGCGTCGGTCGCGCCAAACTAGCTGGCCGCTGCGCGCGCGAGCGTGCGCGGGCTAGCGCGGCCGCAGAGATGCACCAGCCAACGCGAAGCATTCATCGCAATCGCTTCCGCAAGGGTTTTGCGCACCAATTTGCGGGTGGGCGGGCGGGGTGCGAACAGTGGAGTCGGCATCTTCAAATTCGGCAATGTGACTTCTCCTTTCTGAAAAGGACATGGGTTCCCCCCCCCCCCGGACTTATCGACTCCCCCGGGACCTTTGCAAAGCGCGTGTGCTTCTGGCCCGCTGTCCATCATACCTGTGAATTCTTGTTGTCCCAGCCAGGCCGGCATCGCCCCTCCCGCCGTCCTCGGCAACAAATAATATGCGCGCGCACTTGTTGATCACAAGTCATAAGTTTTCAAACATCCCTTGCAACAAAATAGGACGAAGTGCCCACGCGCGCGTCGTCGTGCGCGCATGCCGAAAACCTGCAAAAACTTTAGGTTTCGAAAGGGTTTCAAATTCGAGTGCCCAAAATTCAAAACACAGGGTTTCGCAACGCGGATTTTGAACAAAGCGTGCGCGCGTTTTCAACATGTCCATAGCATGCGACCAAACGGGTTTCGCGCGCACATGTCGATATCGTTCGAACGCCCTTGCGTGCGTGCTGGGGTGGCACGACCTGTGCCAAATAATGCCATGCGAGCCACTCGTGCGCGTCTGCCGCGCGCGCATATATTCCGAATTCCTTCCAAAACCTTCATGGCCTTCACGCCGTCGTCGGCGTGATCAGCATTGGCGCCGTCACTGGCTGTCCCGTCGTCGCTGTCAGCATCGTCGCCAGCATCGCTACTATCATCATCGTGTCTATTCGACGTTGCCATTATACCGCGCCCGCCCAAGTCGCCGATTCGCACTGAAGTGCCCGCTGGGATGTGCCGAGCGGTCAGCGCCACCGCGTTCGCGTCGCTCGCGCCAAACTAGCTGGCCGCTGCGCGCGCGAGCGTGCGCGGACTAGCGCGGCCGCAGAGATGCACCAGCCAACCCGAAACGCTCTTTGCAATCGCTCCCGCATGAGTTTTGCAAACCAAGTTGCGGGTGACTGGGTGGGATGATTGCGCGAGCAGTGGAGTTGACAACGTCAGCTTCGGCAAGTAAATTCTCTTTTTCTAAAATAAGGATATACTGTTTCCCCCCTCGGAATAGTCGATCCCCTTCTTCGTATTGCCATTTACAGATGATTCTGCCGAATGGCCCATCCTACCTGTGAGCTCTTACTATCCCAGCCAGACCGGCATCGCCCCCCCCCCGCCATCCTCTGCAACAGAAAATATGCGCGCACACTCCTTTTTCAAAAACCACAAATTTTTCAATAATCGCTTGCAACACATGGGACGAAGTGCGCACGCGCGCGTCGTCGCGCGCGCATGCGGAAATCCTGCAAAAACCTTCGGTTCGGGAGGGTTTCAAAATCGAGGTTCTAAAACACAACAGACACAAGGTTTCGCAACACGGAATTGCTTAACAAACTTACACGCGCGCTCTTGCGAAATCTTAAGAACACCATGGGTTTTCAATATTTCAAAACATACAACCAGACGGGTTTCGCGCGTGCGCGTGTCGAAATCGTTCGATCGCCCTTGCGCGCGTGCCGTCGAGAGAGTCCTCCGCAAGAAATGGGACGAAGTGCGCGCGCGCGTCGTCGCGCGCGCATGCCGAAATCCTTCAAACACATTCGATTTTGGAATGATTTCAAAAACGAGTGCCCAAAAAACATACAACAACACAGGGTTTCGCGACACGGGTTTTCAACAAAAGCGTGCGCGCGCGCTCTTGCATCGTCGTCGTCGTCGTCGTCGTCGCCGTCCTCCCTCCTCCCTCGTCGTCGTCGTCGCCGCCGTCGTCGTCAGTCTTTCCCCGTCGTCGTTGTCGTCGTCCTCTTTGGCGTCGTCGCCGTTTCCGTCGTCATTGTCGCCGTGGTCGTCCTTCCTCCTCCCTCGTCGTCGTCGTCCGTCGTCGGCGTCTCGTCGTCGTCCCTCCTATTTCGTCGCAGTCGTCGTCGTCGTCTTCCCTCCTTCCTTGTCGTTGTCGTCGTCGGCGTCGCCGTCCTCCCTCCGTCGTTCGAGTCGTCGTTGTCCTCTCTCCTCCCTCGTCGTTGTCGTCGTTGTCGCCGTCGTCGTCCTCCCTCCTCCCTCGTCGTCGTCGTCGTCGGCGTCGGCGACGTCGTCGTCGTCGTCGTCGTCGTCGTCGTCGTCGGCATCGTCTTCGTCGTCGTCGATGTCGTCGGTGTCGCCGTCGTCGTCGTCGTCGTCATCGTCGTCGTCGTCGTCGGCGTCGTCGTCGTCGTCGTCGTTGTCCTCGTCGTCGGCTTCGTCGTCGCCGTCGTCGTCGTCGGTGTCGCCGCCGTCGTCGTCGTCGTCGTCGTCGTCGTCGTCGTCGTCGTCGTTGTCGTCGTCGTCGTCGTCGTCGTCGAAATCGTCGGAGACGTCGTCGGCGTCGTTGTAGTCGTCGTCGGCGTAGTCGTCGAGGTCGTTGTCGCTGTCGTCGTCGGCGTCGCTGTTGTTGCCAAGTGCCATTCGGTACCCACCATCACGGTCTTAAGAAGTCTTGCGACCAAGTTGCGGGTGGGAGGGTGGGATGTTTTCACGATCAGTGGAGAGGACAGCTTCAAGACAGTCAAAGTGACATGCACCAACTAGATTGCACCACGTACATTTCACCACGTAGTATGCTAGAACACATTGTTTGGCGCCCACGCTGGCTAACCCACATCTATTTTCATATGTGCGTATGTAGTTAGGTATACATATATAACATATGTGTGCACGTATCAGAAAGTATACATGCGGAGATACGGAAGTAATCATGCTGGTTTTGTGTTGCTCGCTTACGTCTCCATTAGTATGCAGGTGTCCCAGTAGACGGGGTCCAGGGCCAGGAAACGGTGCCTTGAATCCGCGGGTCCCGGAACCCCCTGGGGAGGGTCTCTGGGCTCCAGAAGCGCGCCCTGAAATGTACTGGGGGGGCCCCCAAAACGCGCCCAGGACGGCCAACATGGCTTCAAGATGCCCCTAAGATGGTCGCGACGGCGACGGACGACGACGACGTTGCCAAGCGACGGCGACGACGACGTCGTCAGGCGACGGCAACGACGGATGGCCACGGACGACGACGACGACGACGACGACGACGGCGACAACGACGACGGACGACGAACGATGGACGACTGACGACGGACGACGGACGATAGACGACGGATGACGATGGACGGCGACGACGACGACGGCGGACGGCGCCCAGCGGAAGACGGCGGCGGAACACGGCGGCGAACGACGACAACGACAACGACCGACCGACCGATCGACCGACCGACCGACCGTCCGACCCAACGACGACGACGGCTCACGACCGTGGCGGTTTGCTGGCGTCGACGACGGACGACGACGACGACGAGAACGACGGCTGACGACGACGACAACGGCTGACGACGGCTTTGGTTTGCGGACGACGGCTACGACGACGACGAGTACGGATGACGACAGCGGTGGTTGGTGGACGACGATTGCGGACGACGACGACGACGACGACGACGACGGCTCCTGATGACGACGGCGACGTCGACGACGACGCCAGCTGACGACGACGACGCAGGCTGACGACTAGGACGACGACGATTGCTGTCGACGACGACGTTGACGACGACGACGAACGACGACGACGACGACGACGTCGACGGCTGACAACGACGACGACGACGACGGCTGCCGACGATGACGACGACGACGTTGGCTGACGACTGTTGACGACGACGACGACGGCTGACGACCACGACGACGACGGCTGCCCACGATTACGACGACGATGTTGGCTGACGACTGCTGACGACGACGACGACGGCTGACGACGGCGACGATGCTGACGACGACGACTGACGACGACGATGACGACGAAGATGACAACGACGACGACGGCTGACGACGACGATGTTGACGGCTGACGAAGATGCCGACGGCGACGACGGCTGACGACGACGACGACGGCTGCGACGACGACGACGGCTGACGACGACGACGGCGGCGACGACGACGGTTGCTGAGGACGACGACGAAGCAGACGACGACGACGAGGGCGACGACGGCTGACGACGACGACGACGACGACGGGTGCCGGCGACGACGACGACGACGGCGGATGACGGCGGCTGACCACGGCTGACGACGACGACGACCACGGTTGACGACGACGATGACGACTGACGACGGCTGACGACGTCGATGACGACGACGATGACGACGACGACGACGGCTGTCGACGACGACGACGGCAACGGCTGCCGACGACGACGACGTCGACCACGACCGCTGACGGCGACGACGTCGACGACGACGGCGACGGCTGGCAACGACGACGACGACGACCACGACGGCATACAACGACGACGACGACGACGACGGCGGCGAACGTTGGGAACGCGACGACGACGAAGACGACGACGGCTGACGACGACGACGACGACGACGGCTGACGAAGACGACGACGATGACGACGGCAGCTGACGACGACGACCACCACGTAAACGGCTGACGACGACGACGATTGACGAGAACAAGACGACGACGGCGGACGACGATGACGATGACGACGACGATGGCGACGACGACGTCGACGACGGCTGACCACGATGGCAGTGACGACGACGACGACGACGACGGCTGACGACGAGGGTGGCGACGGTGACGACAACGACGACGACGACGATCGCTGACGCCGACGACGACGTCGACGACGGCTGACGACGACGACGACGACGACGACGGCGATGCCGACCACGACGACGACGGTTGACGAAGAGGGCGATGACGACGACGACGACGACGTCGACGGCCGTGGGGACGACGGAGCAGACGACGACGACGACGACAACGGCGGCTGACGACGACGACGACGACGATGACGACGACGGCTGATGATGACGACGACGGCGACGGCGACGACGACGGCGACGACGACTGACGACGACGACGACGACGGCTCACGGCGATGGCAACGACGACAACGACGACGACGACGGTGGAGGACGACCACGTTGACGACGACGACGACGGCTGACGACGACGACTGCGACGTCGGCGACGACGGCCGACGTCGACCGCTGACGACGACGACGGTAACGACGATGACGACGACGGCTCACGACGACGACGTCGACGGCTGTCGACGACGGCGACGACGGCGACGACGGCGACGACGACGGCTGACGACGACGACGACGGACACGACGACGACGACGTCTGACAACGATGACGATGACGACAACGACGGCGGCTGACGACGACTGCTGACGACCACGATGATGACGACGACGACGGTGGTTGATGACGGCTGATGACGACCACGATGACGACGGCTGACGACGGCTGTTGACGACGACGGCGACGACGACAGCAGCGACGACAGCGACGACGAAGGCTAACGACGACGACTGCCGCCGACGACGACGACGACGACGACGGCGGCTGACGACGACGACGCCGACGACAACGGTTGAAGAGATGATGGCTGACGACGACGGCTCACGACGACGACGGCGGTTGACGACGACGACGTCGATGGCGACGACGACGATGGTTGACGACGAAGACGACGACGACGACGGCTGGCGACGACGTCGACGACGACGTCCCACGATGACGACGGCGTCGACGGCTGACGACGTCGACGACGACGACGGCTGACGACGACGACGAAGACGACGACGATGGCGACGACGCGACGAAGACGACGGCTGACGACGACGACGCCGACGAAGACAACGGCTGACGATGACGACGACAACGACGACGACGAAGACGACGGTGGTTGACGACGGACACGACGACGACTCCGACGACGACGTCTACGGCTCACGACGACGGCTGACGACGACGACGACGACGGCTGACGACGACGGTGGCGACGGCTGACGACGACGACGACGACATCGACGGCTGACGACGACGACGGCGACGACGACGACGACGCCTGACGACGACGACGATGAAGACGACGTCGACGTCTGACGACCACGACGACGACGACGGCCGACGACGGCTGACGACGACTCTGACAACGACGACGGCTGACGACGACGACGACGACGACGACGACGACGACGACGACGACGTTGACGACGACGGCTGACGACGACGACAACGACGAGCTATCACCGCATGCGAAGGTGGGCGCCGATGCCCTCTCGCCACTTCTGCTCGTCGGCGGGCTCCTTGCGGGACGTTCGCGCGCTGCTCTCCTGCGCTGGGGAGGGCGGGCACTCGCCGGGCGCCGCGCCGGCAGGCCCCGAGGGGCCGTGGGGGAGGTGGGCTAACTATGCGTAAGAGTGACCTTCTGCTGAGCTGACCTTTGGCCCTCCTCACCGAGTTTCCTCCTCCCCGAACATCTGGCGTCTCGCCTTTTTCGAGACACGGGCCCCCGACCTCCCGAGACCTTTTCTCAGGGACGGGTTTTTCATCCAGGGTATTGGTTTTTTGAATATCCCGAGGCCCGGCAAGGGCCCCGAGAGGCCGAAAGCGATGGAAACAGTTCGTCCGGTTGCACGGAAGAGTGATTTTTCGCCAGAGTGATCTTTGGTGCGGGCACGCTGTGGTCCCCAGATGGCGGCTTGAGCGCTCCCGTTCGGCCTCCGCGCGGCCTCCGAAAGTCGCGCACCAAAGGTCGCTCTTGCCTGGGGTCGCTCGTACGTGTAGCCGGGGGGGGGGGCTTGCCTCCGATGGGGGAATGCTAGGGGGCAGAGGCTCGAATCTCTAGGTTCGAGGCTTTCGGGCGAAAACCTTCGACTGCTTTCTTTTGTTTTTGACATGTTCGTAAGTCCTCGTCGGCTTTCCAGCCTCGGGGTGCTCTCCAGCGGCTGCGCCTTGCCGAGAGCGTTCTGGGGGTGCCAGAATCGTCCCGAACCGCCGCCGGCGAGCCGAGTTATGACCCGAAAGCCAAGGAGCGCCGACCGGGGGGGGGATAGGCACAGGGGCATTCATCGCCGAACGTGGCCACATTGTCCGCACCGCCCAGGAACGAGGGTCTTCGTCATGTGGGGCGCACAGCCGATCTATCGGCATTGTATCGCCCATTCCAGGTCGATGTCTCACCCCCATGAGCCGGTTCTCCCCTATCGTTCCCCCTCGGCCTCGCCGTGGAGGGCCCACACGTCCGACTTTTTTGTTTGGGGGGGGGTCGCTCACGGCGTGTTTTTCTCGGATTTCGGCTCCTGCGGGTGATCTTTGGGCCCCAGGGTCATCAGAATCGGATCCGCGGAAGAAGGCTTTCCCTGGGAAGAGGTCGGGACCTCCATGGTACGGCGGATGAGGCGGAGGGGGGGGAGGAGGAAGAAGAAGAGGAGGAGGAGGGATCGATAGTCGAGTCAGCGTGGTCGCTTTTCATTTTTTCCTGGGCCTTCAGGAGGCCCGCCGCCGCCACTGCTGGATCCGCCTCAAAGTTCTGGCCAGAACGCATCCCTGACGAGGCGCTAGGAGAGAAACCGTTAGATCTGGGCGTCGCCTTGTTTGCGCACCGGGCGTTTTCGCTTGGCTCCTGCCCTGGGGCCTCACACGGATCGGTCTGGCTCGGGACCCGTCGCGGGTCAGCCCGGCTCGAGAGATGCCGCAGGAAGGTGCGGTCTGGGGTCCGGTCGCGGTTTCGCACGATGCTGCTTTTCTTCGCGTGGTCTGACCTGCGAGTAGGGCTTGGTCCACTGGATCGAATCGTGCCCCAGGATCCACCTGGCGCGTTCCAGGAAGGGCCTCGCCATTTGCGCCTCCTCCTCCTCCTCTTTCCTCTTTCCTCCACCCTCCTCCTCCTCATCCTGAGTCTCCTGCTGCGCCTCCTCATCCTCTGTCCTCTTTCCTCTTCCTCATTTTTCTGGTCCTCCTCCTCCTCGTCCTCCTCCTCCTCCTCCTCCTCCTCCTCCTCCTCCTCCTCCTCCTCTTCCCTCTTAGAAGAGGAGTTCTGTAGAGAAGGTGCCCTGCAGGTTGGTCGCTGTTCTCGGGCCACATGCCCCCAGGACCGTCAAGGAGCGGCTCCGGATGAAATGGTGAGGGCAAGCCCCAGCGGCCGGGAGCCGTTCCAACCAGCATCATTTTCCTTCATGCATATTTTCGCTATTCCGCCTCGCCTCGCCATCCTCCTGGAATCGAGGACCGAGGGTCCAGGTTCGATCAGGGTTTTTCGAAGTTCTACGTTCTCCTCTGGGTTTGTGGGAGCCTCTGGAAGCGTCCGTGGACCTGAGGAGGCCTCTGGGGACTTCGGACACTGAGGATCGAGGTTCGACATGCGAGGAAGTTGTCGCCTGCTACCGCCACCGCTGTCACCGTCGCCGCCACCACTGACACTTGGGGAGAGCACAAGGAGGGGACGGAGGAAGCAGATTGTGCACAGCGCTAGAGCTCACCGTACCGATGTTCTCGCCCCGTTTCTCCAATCCGCCCTTCGCCTGCGTGCCCCAGTTGTTGACGCTCTCGCTTGCTTGTTCATCATTTTGTTTTGATCGCCAGGTGCGGCACACAGGTACCGACCCGGTGTGCGGCCGCTATCTCGCAGCCCCTTGACACACAGGTCGTAATCGTGGGCCAACCTGCAGTCCTGCAATCTTGCAGCCTGGCGGTTATGTTGCTATCGTCCTCCTTTGGTGGTTCATTGCGCCTCTTTGGCGGTATCATCAACTGTTCGGGTGGTCCGCGATGCACCAGCGCCGCAAGCACTTTGCGTCTGTGGTTAGGTGCTCTTATGGTACTTTGTCCGAGCGGCTTCGCGGGTGTTCCCAGCGGCCCGCCTGGGGTCGGGCGCCCGCCGCTGTTTGCGTCGAGAGATAGTGGCCGCCCCTCTTAGGAAACAGTGTGCTTTTGTGCGTGCAGCGGGCCTTTCTGTCTTGTTCTTTCTGCTCCCATCGCGCTGCTCGGCTCCGGGTTCCTGCGCGCTGGCCTGTGGTCTCCTTTGCCGCCCCCGCCTGCAACGCTTGCGGCAGCTCGTCGCGCCCCACACTACGGTCCGGAACTCTGGCTTAGCGTGTCGCTCCGCCGGTTCTGGCCCACCACGCTTCGGCGCGATACGCTATCCACCCTCCTATTCCCAGGCGTCCGCGTCCCGAGCTTCTCCTGAGCCTCCCGCCCCCCGGCGGAGCGGAGCGATACGCTATGCGCTTGCCAGGCACATCGTGTCCCCGGGACCCCCGCCGCGGCACGGCATCCCAAAGCTCTGGACCGTGCCACTTGCTGCGGTGACGTCACCTGGCCCGCGGAGGAAGCAGCGTGCGCAGTCGGGGCTCGAGGGACGGGGGTCAATGCCAACGGAGGTCAGTCAGAGCGCCGGATCTTGCAGGATCTTGCAGAGCCAGGGGTGCACTGACCCGGGCTCGGGCGCAGGATCCTGCAGGATCTTGCAGGGTCCTGCGACGCTCGACTGGCCCGGGCTTGGATTGACCCAGGCCGGGAGGTCCCCGACGAAGTGGCGGCGGCGGGGATCCCGTCCCCGCCGGTGCACAGGCGGCAGGCGCAGCATATGAGCCGCGGCGGCTCCCCCTCGGCGGGCCCACGGCCTCTCGCTGTGCTCGAGAGCGACAGGCTCGGGGGTCGCCCTGTCTCTGTCTCCGTCCCTCTCTCTCTCTCTCCCTCCGTCTGTTTGGAAGTCGGCTGGGGGATCTGAGGCGGCGCCGCACTGGTGCAGGCCAGCAGGAGTGGAGGGCGAGGTTGGAGGTGCTGGGTTCGAAGAGGTCTTTGGCCTTTCACAGTCCCTGGGGGCCCCATTCGGGCCCCAGGAGCACCAACAACGGATGTCGGGTGACAGAAGCTTCATGAGATGGACCCTGGGAGCGGTCCAGGAGGGGTCCAGGGACAGATCTTTGACCAGATTCACCTCAAGAAGTGAGTTAATTACGAATCCCCCCCCCTTCGGCAAAAGGATCAAATTTCCTGTGCCGGGAAGCGTTATCCCGGCATCCGCTGTGAGCAGGAGTAGTTCCACTACTACGACTACTCGCGGACGGGGCATCATTTATTGTCACCGTTGGGCGGTGCAAAGATAACGCTCCGTGCGGGGCGGGGGCGATACCCTGGGGTGGACCAACCCCTAGGACGGCCGTCGAACATAAATTTCTCACTGGGTCATGTAATAGGAACCGTAGAGGACGGAAAGGTGCGCGGCGCTACGACGAGCACAGTTAAAAAAACGAGTGTGCGTGGACGCTAAGGCGAGAGCCACATTTTGAAAACGAATTTGCGTCGCGCTAAGGCGAAAACCGCATTTTGAAAATGAGCCTCCCTCAATCCGTGAACGTGGTGCAACTTGTGGAAACGAGTGCGCGCGGCGCTAAAGCGCGAGCAACATTCTGGAAGCGACCCGCCCTCCATCCGTGAAACTCTTGCACAGCCTTTAAAAGCGAAAGTGCACGGCGCTACGGCGAGAGCCACATTTTGAAAACAAGCCGCCCTCTCTTCGTGAACCTCGTGCATTTTTTGGGTGTTAAAATAGTTTTTGGTATAAAAAAACGAATGCGCGTGGAGCTAAGGCGAGAGCCACATTAAAAAAAAAACGAGCCGCCCTCAATCCGTGTTTTGTTTTGCTATTGTAGTGGCCTCCTGCCAGTGCCGCCGATCCGGGGCGCTCCCGACGCTGATGGGAATGGATGACCGTGTACGCTGAAGATACAGCCCTCGTTCGGGACATCCTCATAAGAGATTTGAGAGTTTGGGGTCCGAGCCCATGAAGGATACACCGGCTTGAGGACTGAGGCTCAGGGGATTGAGCAAGGGACATCGGGAAGCGTCTTGGAGCTCGTTTGGGGGCCTCTTGGGCCTTGCTTCGGGCCTCTTGGGGGGCGTTCTGGATTCTCTTGCGGGCTTTTTGGGGCCTATTAGGGCCTCCTGGGGGCGTCATGGAGCCTCTGGAGAACGTCGTGAAAGGAAAGACTTTGATTTTCGGTTCGGGCTCTCCCTCTTGGGCCTCTCCTGGGGCGCTGATGGGGCCCTCTTGGGCTGGCTTGGGCGCCTTCTTGGGCCGTCTTGGCGTTCCCTTGGCGCCCTTTTGGGGCCGTCTTGGGATCCTTTTGAGCCGTCTTGACGCCTTGCCGGGGCCGCTTGCCGGGCGCCTTGCTGGGGCAGGCGGACTTCCCGCCTCCCCACGGGCCGCTCTGCTCTGCTCTGCTCTGCTCTGCTCTGCTCTGACGCGGTCCCAGGAGTTTGTGTCACCGTCGGAAGCTAAGCCCCCCCGCCCCCGAGCACTGCATGGCGCCGGGAATGGGTTCCCCCCCCCTTGCAGAGCGACCCCCCCCGGCTCCCGAGCACTGAATAGCGTCGGGAATGGTGTCAGGAATGGCGTCCCCCCCCCCCCCCCCTGCAGAGCGAACCCCCCCCCGGCTCCCGAGCACTGAATGGCGTCAGGAATGGCGTCAGGAATGGCGCCCTCCCCCCCTGCAGAGCGAAGCTTGAGCGAGCTCAAGTCCACGCTCTCGGAAACTCAAACACTGGATCGGCGGATTTGGCGTGGTGCTAAAGTTATCGTTCGGCTATAATCCCTCCTGGAATTTATTAATACCGGTGCGGTGCTACTGGTAACCCCTCGGAGGGTTCTTAATTACCTCTTGAGGTTTGCGCTTGTCCGCCCTTGGCAGTTCTTTTGGGGGCCCATTCAGTTCAGACCCCGCGGCCGTCTCCAAATCTCTGGAGCGAGCGCCAGTCCTGACAATCGTCAGGCAGTGAGCGACTGATGGCAGGGGCGTTCAGCGGACTGCCACACTCACGACTACGTCGGCGGGCGAGAGTTAGCTCGCCCGCCTGCGGTGCGGAGAGCGGGGCTACGCCTCCTTCCCCTTGTGCGTAGCACACGAAGAGTTGCCCCCTCTTTAGAGCGACCGCCGCTGAGTTTTCAGGAAGCGGCTCCCACAGACTTGTAGTTCAATCTTTCGAGTTTCCGGGAGGTGAGCGGGCGCCTGGTCGAACTCTGCGCCAGCACAGTGGGGGTCGGCGCAACAGCAACGTACATGATCGGCACCCCGAAGGCCAGGGGACCCCTTGTAAACAAAAATAGCGGGTGCGTGCCTCCGACGCTCCAGGAACGCCCGCGCGCTCCCAAGCGCTTCCAGGCGTTCCGCAGGCGGCGGTCTTAGGCGTTCCCAGGCGCTCCCGGACGTCCCCAGGCGCTCCCAGGCGCTCCCAGACCCAGCAGAAACCGCCAATCGTCCCCCGGCGACCCCAGGCGACCCCGGGCGCCCCCCAGGCGGCCCCAGGGCGCTTCCAGACGCCTCCTGTGTTCCCGTCCAGGCGTGCCTCGGCGGTCCCAGTCGTTCTCTAGGCGGTCCCAGGCGATCCCAGGCGCTCGCAGGATTTACCAGACGCTCGCGGGCGTTCTCAGACGCCCCGGGAGCGCCCAAACGCTCCCAAGCGGGGTGCAGGCGCTAGCCGGGCGGCCCCAGGCGCTCCCAGACGCAGAACGCCGAAACGCTTCCAGTCAGCCCTGGGCGCCCTCCAGGCGGCTCCAGGTGCTCCGAAACGCTCCTGGAGCGCCCACGCGCTCCCCAAGCGCCCCAGGCGCTGCCAGACGCCCCAGGAACGCCCAGGCGCTCCCAAAAGCCCCAGCCGGGCGCTCCCCAGGCCGCCTCAGGCGCTCCCAAACGTTCCCAAACGCACCCATACGATCGCAGACTCCCGCAAACGCTCCAGGAGCGCCCAGGCGCTCCAGGATGTGCCCAGGCGCTCCTTGACGCTCCCAGACGCTCCCAGACGCTCACAGATTCTCTAGGAGCGCCCAAGCGCTCGCAGGGGCGCTCCCAGACGCTCGTCACTCTCTCCCCGAGCGCTCCTCGGGCGCCCCTAAACGCTCCCAACCGCTTTCGCTCTAGGAGCGCCCAAGCGCTCCCCAGGCGGCCCCAGGAGGCTTCAGGAAGCACGAATGACTTTCAGGAAGATGCAGGAAGCCTCAGGGAGCACCAGGGAGCCCCAGAAGCTGGCCCCACGAAGCCTCAAGAACACCCTGAAAGCACCGTGGGAACACCCGGGAAGTTTGCAGGATACCCCAGGAAGCGCTCAGGGAGCGTCAAGAATCCACAGGCTCCCCGGGAAGCCCCAGGAGGCTTCAGGAAGCCACAGGAAGTTTCAGGAAGCCCCAGGAAGTTCCAGGAGGCCCCAGGACGCCTTCGGGAGGGCACAGGAGGCTTGACGGACCCTGAGACAGCTGTTCAACTTCTTCCCATGCGCCCCCCCAGCCCCGCCCCCCCGCGCGGTGGTCGGGTAGCGACGCGCCTGCATATGCAGCGCGTGTGCGGCGCATCCGCGGAGACATCCCCGTGCGCGCGCGTCCATGCGCACAGCGAGGCGCCATCACTTTCGCTGATCGAAGCACTGGCGCAGAACTATCCTTCCGATATCGCCGCCGATGCGACGCGCGAGCCCTCCCCCGCGAGGTCGAGCGCTGCCCTTTCGCGCCGCGCGCCGACCCCCGCGCGAGAACTTGCGCTCCGAAGCCATCGCCGATGCGGCGCGCGAGTCCTTTCCCGCGCGCGCGGGCGCTGCCCGGTCGCGCGGAGACGCTGCTAGGCGGCGCCGCGCGCCGACCCCCGCGCGACCATCGCGTGCCGAGACCGCTTGCGGCGCGACGCACCGCTCCTCCTCCTCCTCCTCCTCCTCCTCCTCCTCCTCCTCCTCCTCCTCCTCCTCCTCCTCCTCCTCCTCCTCCTCTCGCGCCGCGTGCTGAGTCCTCGCCCGCGCGCTCGACCGCTGCCCAGTCGCGCGGAGAGTCTGCGTGGCGCTGCGTGCCGACCCCGGCGCGAGCACTTGGCGTTCCGGGTCGCGGATGCAACGCGCGAGTGCTTGCCTAGGCGCGCGAGCGCCACTCAGTCGGGCGAGGACGTTGCTGGGGGCGCCACGCGTTGACCCCCAGGCGAAGATCGCGCGCCGAGAGCGCCGCCGATGCGACGCGCGAGTCGAGAAAGCCCGTTTGCAATCGTTCGTCGTTGGTCATTTGCCACCGTCGTCGTTCGCCATTAGTCGATACACTCGCTGGGAGTGCGACGCATTCCGACATCCCCTTTTGAAAGGGGCGGCGTGGGGGTGGAGGCGGGGAGAGAACTCACTCTCGGGCGCAGCTGAGTCAGGGGTGGGGGGCTGGGACACGAGCATCGCGAGTGCGCACCAACGCATCCAACTTCCAACAATCCTGTTGAGGGGGTGAGATGCGTGCGCGCACTTCTCGTAAGCACTCCTTCGCTCCCTCTCTGTGTCTACGATTGTATTTGCCTTGTGTCAGAATCCAGTCTGGCCTCGATCTACACATGTCTCCATTTTTGTCTCTGTCAACGTGCGTACAATGTGAGAGTTGTTGCTTGTTTGTTTCTAATTACTCTCATCGTGCGTGGGCACGTATGTGCGTGTGTACTCATACGTTTTTATGGTTGTATGGTTTTCTGTCGGTGCGGGGGTGGTTGGGGGGACGCTGCTCGCGTTTTCCCTGTGTTCCGACCCTGTCTATTCATGGTCCCTGTCGCTGCCTCCGGTAGTCTTTCACTCTCAGTCG